TTTCGGATAACCGATTATGTACGAAAAAATATATTAACCTATCCCATCCTGAAATTTTTCTCCGTTGCGTGTCGCTTCGCGTTGAATTTTCGTCGATGTTAAGCCTAACGTAAACTTTTTAAAATAATAATCATGGCTATTGTATCGTTAAAAATTATTTCTTTATTTTGTACAAACAAAATAAATATATTGATAAATATAAAAACGATAAAAAATTATACTTCAGAAGTTAATTTAGTATCAAAAACATAAAATATTTGAGTAGACCAAGACATAGCCAAAGATTGCAGCGCCACAACACTGGCGAAAATTTAAATTTGCCAACTGGAATTCTTTCGGATAACCGAATTTCGGATAAACGACGCTCTACTGTATATAAAGAGGAAAGTATCTCTGTGTTCAACTACCAAAGTACAGTCTACTTGCCATTGTTAATACAGCCACCATGGCCAAATGTGCCTTTTTTTTACTTACATGTGGCTCTTGCTGAAAGTGTTAATTTCTGCTTTTTATCTGCCACGGGATGTAATCTGCTTTTTATTATTATTTTTACAATTTTATTTCCACAATTTTGTGAAAATATGTTTATCAAAAAAATTCAACATTTATTTTATATAATATCTATATCTATCTATATATATATAAAAATGGACATGTATGTCCCTATATTTCACTTTTTCGCCAAAACTACACATCGCACGTGAATGGTGTTTGTATGTGGTGGTAGTCCCAAGTCTCCATTCGTGCATAGGGGTGGTTGCGTCTCGATAGCTATAAGGGTGCGGGAGATATGAGGCTGAAAGTGGTTGAAAGTGGCTTTCTATTTCGAATGTTTTGTTCGAATTTGTTCGAATTAAATTCGAACATAAAATTCGAATATTGGTTCGATTATAGAACGATTGTAAACGTTCCAGAAAATTGATCAAATTGAAAATAGTTTGTTTGACTGGACGTAAAAATTCTCTAATTAGTCTGGAAACGGGGGACCTAATTCTTGCATTCTGTGAAAACGGGTAAGATTGGCTATAATGTAATTATCTTAATCTTCACTATCGTTACTTTTTGCCCAGCAAAGCGGGTCCTTGCAGCTAGTTATATAATAAAATCGCGGTACAGAACTGCAGTACAGAATATAAAAGTACAGAACTGCGGCTCCCATGCATTTTGCAAAACCTACATTTCGGCTCCCACTGATCTCTTGTTTGCCCACCCCTGATATATAGCAAGCATCTCATCTTTCAGTTAAATTATTATGTTAGAATACACACTGTTGTACCTAATGCATCTGATGACATATGATAGTTTGCTCACTCTGACAGAATTATCCTTTGATATATTTATAATTTTTTCTTATTGCAGTTTAATTAAACACACTGTTTTATTGACTTCATTCTCACACAGATGAAAAACTACATATAAAATGAGTTTAGCAAGTGTAATACTCAATTTTTAATTGAGTTTCACTTTGTTTAGAAATTGAATGTTATATACTCCTAATTGACATAAAAGTCCAAGTAGCAAGATTATAAAGAATTAACAATATATGGCAATATGAATATAAACAAAACACCAAACTCTTGCTGAGCTTATTATTACTTTAATTTCAAACGTTTTCAGCCCAATTCCAATAGGCCATCTTCAAGAACTATTCGAATACAACTTTCGAATAAATTTTAAATTTAAACTTTTAACATAAACTGTAACTATTAACTATTTAACATATTTTTAAATATCACTGTAAACCATTAAATATTTAACTAAAAAATTTTAACATATTATATGATAAACATAAATAATATAAAAAATATATAAAAAATTATAAAGCTTACTATAACAAAAATATACATTAAACCAGTAATACACAACTGCCATAAGTTTACGGGTTTTTAATCCCCATTTCCTTTTCTATTATGTACTTCCATGCCGTTGGAAGAGCATTAGCATCCTTGGCGTTTAGACACTTGCTATTTATCTTACTCTTATAAATCTCCATTTTTTCTATGCCAAACGCAATAGTCGGAGAATGGACCGGTTTAACAATTCGTGCCTCATCCCATTTAACACTTGCACCATCTGTTTGCGCCATGATTGCCAAGATAGTGTTGTTGTTCCCTTTACTAACGTCATACATATGCTCCTTTAAACGAACCGCCAGGTTTCTTGTGGTGACGCCCACATAATCTTTTTCTACTCCTAATTGTTGATTTTCAAAAGGAATTCTATAAACCCCAGCTTTTTCCTTCATTCCTATCTTGTCCTTATCATTCCTTAGTAACTTGTAGATGTTTGGCGCTCTTTTATAAATAGATCTTGTGCTCTTATATCTACACAACTCTTCCATTATTCCTTCCACCATCCTGTTGTATGTAAACTTATTAAACTTATCTTTTGGCTTATTCCGTTTGTTTGTCCCTTGCTTGTAACCTTTGACCAAACCATTAATTGTAGATGTTTTGTATCCTAAACTTTTTGCAATCTTCTTGATTCTGTTAATCTCGCTAATTCTATCTTGTACGTTGGTGCAATATAAGAATGCTCTTTTAATAAGCGACCTAAACGAAGACATTTTGCATTTAATCAGATCATTAGACCATGCCGGGATATATAGTGGAGCATGTGTGGGTTTTAGATACACTGCCATTTGTACATATCCTTGTTTAAATCTTATGTTAATATCTAAAAAATGGATATGTGTATGGCTTTTTTGTTCAAGCTTTAGTTTTAACCCATGCTTATTGTTATTTATCATACTTAAAAATTCCTCAATTCTTCAGTTATCCTTCCAAATTATCAACACGTCATCTACATATCTTTTGTATAATACAATGTCCTCCATGAATTTTCNCTATTATATATTAAGAATAAATTGTCTTTTAGAGATTTCAATTTCGATATTCAAGATGGCAGCCTACCGCTCTGGGGATCCGGGTTCGAATCCGGACGGGTCGATAAATCCCCAGGAATTTTTCTGGGATGGCCCGTCCGGATATGTCGGCCCCGTCCCTCCATTGTGGGCCTGACCGAACCCATATTGGGCTTGCTAAAAGAAGCCCTCTTAGTGTCCACGGGTAAAAAAAGTTAAAAAAAAATTCGTCGTTTAGAAAAATGATGGAGAGTTGTTTTCTTTGAAATTTGTGCTTTAAAATGGCTTTAAAATTTGAATTTTTTAAAATGTTATTAATGAAATTACGTCTTTAATTTAATGTTTATATCAGTAATTCAAAATGTTTACATATAATGTAGCTTTTACTTTGACAAAATATTTCAAGGTTTTTTTCTTTATGGGCACAAATAAGGCCTTTTTTAGCAAGCCCATTATGAGTTATGTCAGGCCCGAAATAGGCTAATCGGATAAAGTAAGGGACGGATTTAACATATCCGGCGGTTTTTGATCCATTCGGACGCGATTCCGGGTCCTTAGAGCGGTAGGCTGCCACCTTGACCGCTCGGCCATCTAGCCTATTAAAAGGCTATGAACATTTCATTTACTAATATAAACAAAACACCAAACTCTTGCTGAGCTTATTATTACTTTAATTTCAAACGTTTTCAGCCCAATTTCAATAGGCCATCTTCAAGAACTATTCGAATACAACTTTCGGAATAACTTTTAAATTTAAACTTTTAACATAAACTGTAACTATTAACTATTTAACATATTTTTAAATATCACCGTAAACCATTAAATATTTAACTAAAAAATTTTAACATATTATATGATAAACATAAATAATATAAAAAATATAAAAAAATATAAAGCTTACTATAACAAAAATATACATTAAACCAGTAATACACAACTGCCATAAGTTTACGGGTTTTTAATCCCCATTTCCTTTTCTATTATGTACTTCCATGCCGTTGGAAGAGCATTAGCATCCTTGGCGTTTAGACACTTGCTATTTATCTTACTCTTATAAATCTCCATTTTTTCTATGCCAAACGCAATAGTCGGAGAATGGACCGGTTTAACAATTCGTGCCTCATCCCATTTAACACTTGCACCATCTGTTTGCGCCATGATTGCCAAGATAGTGTTGTTGTTCCCTTTACTAACGTCATACATATGCTCCTTTAAACGAACCGCCAGGTTTCTTGTGGTGACGCCCACATAATCTTTTTCTACTCCTAATTGTTGATTTTCAAAAGGAATTCTATAAACCCCAGCTTTTTCCTTCATTCCTATCTTGTCCTTATCATTCCTTAGTAACTTGTAGATGTTCGGCGCTCTTTTATAAATAGATCTTGTGCTCTTATATTTACACAACTCTTCCATTATTCCTTCTACATTCCTGTTGTATGTAAATTTATTAAACCTATCTTTTGGCTTATTCCGTTTGTTTGTCCCTTGCTTGTAACCTTTGACCAAACCATTAATTGTAGATGTTTTGTATCCTAAACTTTTTGCAATATTCTTGATTCTGTTAATCTCGCTAATTCTATCTTGTACATTGGTGCAATATAAGAATGCTCTTTTAATAAGCGACCTAAACGAAGACATTTTGTATTTAATCGGATCATTAGACCATGCCGGGATATATAGTGGAGCATGTGTGGGTTTTAGATACACTGCCGTTTGTACATATCCTTGTTTGAATCTTATGTTAATATCTAAAAAATGGATATTTGTATGGCTTTTTTGTTCAAGCTTTAGTTTTAACCCATGCTTATTGTTATTTATCATACTTAAAAATTCCTCAATTCTTCGGTTATCCTTCCAAATTATCAACACGTCATCTACATATCTTTTGTATATTACAATGTCCTCCATGAATTTTCCTAGGACCTCCTTTTCTAGTTGACGTACCACTAATTCGCACAAGAGTCCCGACATGGGACTACCCATTGGGACTCCTTTTCTTTGTTTGTACACCGTCCCATTGAACGTAAAAAAGGACTGATAACACATCAAATCCGCCAATATATTTAAGTCCTCCATATACGCTGTTAATCCTGGATTATGCTGTACCATAAATTCAACAAGAGTATTGAAACAAGATGTTAAATTCATGGAAGGGTACATGCTTTCAAAATCCATAACCGTTCCTATTTCATCATTCATCAACGCCAAACCTTGTAATTCTTTTACCAACTTATTTGGATCCTGCGTCACATACACACTATCTTCCAAACTTTCATATATATACTTTTTTAATCTTTTCTCTAGTATAAAGGTTGGTGCACCACATTTCTCAACCACCGGTCTAATTTCTTTGTTTTGCTTGTGCGTTTTTGCGAACGCAAAGATTCTGGGTAATCGGGGGCATGGGTTTGAAAACGTTTGAAATTAAAGTAATAATAAGCTCAGCAAGAGTTTGGTGTTTTGTTTATATTTGTAAAGATACGGCTGAGGAAGTGAGAATAGTTACATTTCATTTACTTTAATTAAGAATTTCAAAAATTCCGACATGATATATCTCTGCACATCAATCTTTTAAATTTGTAAAAATTCTTAAAATTTTTGTAAAATATTGTATACGCTGTTCTGCTAACATCCATTCGGGACACGGTGCCGAACATTCATATCTCATCAGCCGACCGCCTCATTGTGGGCTTAGCCAAACCCACAATGGACTTCATAAAAGCCCACCAGTGGCCGAGCGGTCTTCGTACCCTGAACACTGGGAGTTCGGTCGTGGATTCGCGCCTCGCTGAGACGGGCTGGCCACGTGGAGTTTTCCGGGTTTTCTTCACGTCTGTAACGCCTAAATAGGGGCAAGTTTCCCTTAAAAAACCTCCCGTAAGGCACCCCCTAGGCAGAGCGCCCAAGTGTTGCGTCGCCATAAATTAACAAACAAACAAACTTCATAAAAAAAGGCTCTCTTAGTATCTACAGGGCAGAAGGAGTTTTAAAGAGAGATCATCAATAAAAATTATTCCGTGGCATCATTTTTTGTGCTGCAAACGATGCGCAACCCCTTCGCCATGCTAGATGACTTTTAAGTTTACAAAATATTTAAATAATGATGCATTTTTGTTTTAGACATAATATTCTTGAAATTTGGATAAAATGTTACAAGTGGTCTTGGTTTGATTAATTAGTTAATTAAAAATTTTTTAAAAAAATCCAGCAACCAGTTGCTTAACTTTTCCAGCAACATCGGTGGCGACATCTGTTATGATATTTTGTTAAAAAGAAGTTTATACTGTACAGTAATACCCCGAACTTACGCGATAGATGGGACCGAGCGATAACCGCGTAAGTCGAATTCGCGGAAGTCGGCGTATAATTTCGCATATAAATACATACAAATAATTTTTAATTGGGGCCGGAGACTAAAGAAAACAATAATTTAGAAAAAAAAGATGTTTAATAAAATCTTAGATAATACATATGTATAACAAATTATATTATTATACAATTTTTCACAGTTTCCGTAGATATAACATATACAGAAATAAATAACACAAAATAAATTGTTGCTATGCGTCGATTCCGCGCGACACGTCCGAACATGTAAGCTGAACAATAGTGGGGGGAGAGTGAGTGATCAAGAGTTGCGTGGCGCTCAAACAAAAGACGAATCGACGAGATTTGAAAATCGCGTAAGGGTGCGACTATGCAGACACGAATTTAGAGCGAGCGAGAGGTTGCGAACGAACACTTCATTGAACAAACATAAAAAGAAGCGACGAAAATAGCAAATACCGATTGAGTTTTCCTTGTCTTCGGGTAACAATTCGAAACTTTTCGGAGCACGAGAGACGTCGACGTCCAACTCGGTTGAGACTGACTGGATAGCATTTTTCCGAACTTTGAAACTCTCCCTTGTAATTCCAGACTTTTATTTTTCTGACAGAAACAATTCTTTTATAATATTCGTGAGACTGTCGGGTGGGCACTCGTTAAGTTTTGCGTCGGGTTTTATTTTCGAAAGGTATAATAGCAAAGGTAGAGTGTGGGCGAAAGATGTCCGATGTTGCTGGGCATTATGGCTTGAACAAATCTACATTAGGGCGCAGTTCAATCTTATCTAAGAAAAACACAGTATAATCAAGAAGACTCAAGCAGCTAAAGAAGTAACAAATATCACATCTGAAAAATAAACAACATTGAAGAGCTCATAAGGGAACCTGAAAAGGATCTGACGACAGAAGAACGCCAAGAACTCTTGAATGAACACCACCAAGAAACTCGGCGATATGTTTTATTATGAAAAAGAGAATTAATGCAGATATCTGCTATTAATTAAAGTTCTTTTGAAGAAGTGGGATGTCAGATCAACGGTCTTAAAATGGCATCCAAACCAGGTTGAAGTTAATAGTCTATGGGATCTCTACAATTACAATGCTATTAATTACTTCTGAAAATCCTGAAGAGAGAAAAGCAATCGACATTAGACAGATTCTTTAACCCCCACAAACAAAAAAACATAACTAGTAAAAATGCAAGACTGTGTATATATGTATTTTTATTATTGCACTAGCAGACCCCGCCACACGTTATGGCTCAATGTATTATAAATGTATAACACTTCCCCCATGGAGGAGAATTTTTCGAAAAATCCCTTTTTAGTGTTACATTCTCTTGACATACCCTATTAAAACGCAATCAAAAACACAAAAACCACAGGGGCGTGCCGTGACATTTGATAGGGAAGCTGTGTTTCTATAAGAAGCCGACTTCCAGGGGCAATCAGTTAATTCTTTCTTTAAATGTATTTTTAATAGATTATTTATCTGACGTACTTAATAAATAAACAAGTTCAATATAATTACCTCTGTTATTAGTTTCAATAGGTTTCCTTTGCCCTCTAAATACCAATTCTTGCTTTGATAAAAACATATATTTAAATTAATAGATATTATATCTGTTACTGTGAATGACCGATATCTGGTGAATGTCAGCATTCACACAGTCGTTTTGTGTATGTACGAAATATTTGCTAAATATCATTATTTCTCACTTACACCGGCAAATGTCGACATTCCGCATGCACTGATGATGAATGTTCAATAAAAATATCTTTATTACGTGAAGACAAAAATGCAACTTTTTAATATGTCAAAATAGGAGAAAGCTTTAGTAACAGCACGTGTAAATAAACTGTTGAACCTAAAACGAACATTCAGTACATTCTAAATCATTAAAGAAAATAATACAATAATAAACTTACACACAAATTATGTGATTAACGTTATACAATCTTATTTATTGCAACAACTTAAATTATTATGACACTTTGAATTGCACAAGAGTCCCTTGTTTTACAACTGCATTTATTCGTGAAACACTTCTTTTTGCAATGACAGCGTGTATAGCCTTGCCCTCCACTTTTCAAATTAGCTGCAGCTGCTTCTCTCAGCGATATTTATTGAGAAAAAATCTTATCTATGGAGAGTATTTTCTTTACAAATTACGAACTGATTACGTTATTACGTGATTACGAACTGATCTGTTAATGGTGTCTTTTATTCGGATATCGCCGATGCCTTACCGATGTCCCCTCTCATCCTCCGCCACTCGACCTGACAAACCGATCCTCATCTCACGGGATCAAAAGAACAAAAACGCCATTCAGTGACAAAGTGGTTTTCACCAAACCGTTGCCAGGAAAAGAGGTATGACCTTGTCCTACCTCCGGCTACCCACAAAGGATTTGACGAGACTATCGCCTCTCTGTCGACATCGGCTTCTCGGGTGTCGTTTCGACTTCCACCAAAGCTTATCTGTGCTTGTCGACATACACCGGCGATTGTTCGAATGCATAATATTAAAACAAAATATTCGGTCTTTCACCGACGTATTTTGTATGTGTCAACATTCCCCAGAGAGTATCGACATTCACTAATTTCGGTCTTTCACAGTAACATATCTATTAGCCGTAACTATCTCGTTATAATTTTCAGTATTTATTTTATATTATTTACTAATGTCAAACTCTATTCCGCTTCGATTTCCAAATTGCTTCAAATACGAAAGAATCGACGATTTTTCGTGTCTTTTGCCAGCTAAATCGTCAAAGCCATTCTTATTCCTCGCACTAATTTCATTTGAAAATAGTAGGCGAGCCAACAAAACAATTTTTGCATTTTTATGCATTTACAGAGACATTTTATCGTGAAAATGTCGAACAAATTTTTTTATTGAAGCGTTTATATTTAACTTGGGCATTGGCCGTTCTCTTTTAATAATGTTTTCTTTTTCATTATATGATCTCGAGCCAAAACTTTTTTAAAATAAATTTTCAATATCGCAATTACGTTTAGAATTGCTAGCCACTATATAAGGGCTAAAATTAAAAATAAAATTATAAAAACTTACTTGATGAAATAAAATGCGTGGTGGATATACATACCTGGTACAAAACATTCTTCGATTGCACGAATATACTTTTAAAGAAAATTATAATTAAATATAGCTTTGTAATGAAACGTACATAAAAGTAACATAAAATATTTTTTACTCTTTAAATCCTAACCACTTAGTCAAATAGCTCCCTACGAGTGGAATCAGAGACGGTCCTGCTAGGTGTGCATGCACGCGGGCTGCCAAATCCCGAGGGTACCGATACCGGTCAATGTCAAATGTCAAAGGACACGACAGGGTTGTTGTACATTTTAAACGTTTCTCACCATAGCTGTAAAAGTCTAAATATGTTAAACTTAATAGATTGTCCGTCCTTTTGTTTTCTAACTAATTCGTTTTAGGACCAGGTGTTGTCCACGGAAATTTTTAAAATTTACAACTTTTCGGTCATTCTAGTCGAACTGGAAAATTGTCTGTCATTATTACATCTAATATTTCGAAGAAATCACACTCCCACTGTACTAGGCTAGAGATTGGTTCGGTTAGGCTTTTAAGTAAAATTTCGGCTCTTTCATCAGGGTTTTGTGTCCCCAATTCCATAATCACTTAATTATTTAACTACTTCTTAAGTAGAAATAAGTCAAAACCGGTTACTTTGTACTCGAATATTTGTAGTCTCGGGAATAAAGTGGAAAGACAAATTTTTATGACAAACGGATACATAAATCGTAAATTTAAGGAAAATAAATTCTAGAGCTTTTTCTGTACCTCGTGCATCTTAACCAAGAATAATACACGTTTTTTTCCTACATCCCCTTAAACATGGGATATACGAAATCGTAATATCACTGGTTTAACATTAAAATCCGTAATATAAAATCGGAGAGCGTAATAAATATATCAAATATTTTAATGGATTTTTTAAACTCCTGTCAACTATACAGAACTACCGTAAAAACATACCAGTAAATTCTTATGGGTTGGGTTAAGTTATAAATCTACTCGTTATTCACGTAATTGGCCAAATATCTACCGGACAGGCGGCAAACAGCCCGGAACCGGTCCCGGATAGAATTGGAACCGTTGGAAAGTGTAGATCGACTCAAGGTCAGACAACTTCCACCCGCTAAACCGGGTGAGGTTGGTGCTTTGTAAAGCACGTGCGCAAATCTGGCTTTTTGGAATCTGACAATAGAGATTCCACTACGCCACTAATATTCGAATATACAATAGCAATCTTATTTTTTTTCGCGTGTAGTATAGAAATTTGTAATAAGATATATAATGCGGTTATAATAAAATATTGTGCGATTATTTTCATATTAGAATTAATATGTATTTATTTTTTATAAAATACAAGGGAAGCGGCGCTTCCAGCGCTTCTAATGACGGCACGCCACTGAAAAACCACGAACACCAGAATTTTTCGAAAAATCCCTTCTTAGTGTTACATTCTCTTGACATACCCTATTAACACAATCAAAAACACAAAAACCACATCTAAAATAGTATAAATAGAAGCAGAGTTCTTTACCGAAAGCCTTAATCCCGTCCATCTCCCCCCAGTAAGGGAATTTCGACATGTATATTATATAAAAACACGTGCGTATTCGAATGCAGCATTGTGTCAAAATTTCAAAGGAATCGGTAGGAACAAACGAACATTACATTTTTATTTATATAGATAAGATAGATTACGATCTGCTTTAGTTCATCCTCACAGAAAAGCAAACTTAGGTCGTCGACATAAAAGCCTTAATCCTAGATCAGTGGTTCCCAATTAGCGATAGGCGTACCCCTGGGGGTACGCGAAATTGCGTGAAGGGGTACGCTCGGTCGATTTAAAATTTAAACGAATGAGATGAAGCAATCAAAAAAATAAAGGGGACCATAAAAAGTTCGGCAATTTACAACATGATGTCGAATGCACAAACTCGTTTATTCATAACTAAAAATATTCTCGAAATTTCATCAAAAAATGCATTTGTGACAATACCTAAATGAAATTCTTACGCAAGAAACAAAAAGTGTACAGTTAACACAATTTGTGTTAATTGTACAATCATCATTACCATCGTGTCAGCGAAGCGGCAATAAAATATTTACTATCATTTTGCACAACATACCTCTGCGAGAGCGGATTTTCGGCCATGACAAACACGAAAACTATACGTCGTCACCGACTTCAACTCGAAGATGACTCGAGACTGAAGCTGACCAAAAAGCAACCAGATTTTACAAACTTGTGCAAAGAAAATCGTGCACATTTGTCGCATTAAAATTAAATAACCTTATGTTATTTTCATTATTATTAGAATTGTATTTTAAAGGTAATAAATGTAAAAAAACTTATTCTATCACTAGCTGTCTACCCACAGCTTCGCCCGCATTATATCGAGTTTTCTCGTGGGAGTAAGATATTTTCTCGCAGTAAAATGTAGCCTATGTCCATCTACAACATGTAAGCTATCTCTTTGCCAAATTTTATTAAAACCTGTTCAGCGTTTAGGCGTAAAAAGGTGAGACAGACAGACACAGCATTATCTTCGAATTTATAATATTAGTATGGATTAATATGAATTTCTGCTATAAGGGGTACGCGAGTTTGAGCTCTTTCTTGAAGTAGTACGCAGGAAAAACTAATTGGGAACCACTGCCCTAGATGATATCTTAATTTATATGAATGTTTAACGGAATAATATACAGCATATGTCCACCCTGAAGTTCCATCCTAAATATTGGTGAAAGAATTTTTGAAATCAAATGAGTAGTTTCGGAGATTACCCCTAAATACAAACTTACAAACATTACCTCTTTATAATATTACTATAGATACAAATAAACGTAGTAAGAAAATATATATTCTTTTATTTTTGGGGGTCTCCAGAACGAATTAATCAAATTCCCATAAAAACTTATGATAAATTGATAATCGGTTAAACAATTCAGATAACGAACAAAGTCTTGGAACGGATTATGTTCGTTAACCGATCACCCAATGTATAAAGGAAAAACTCATCTCCCAGAAAATTATTATTAAGCAATTTTTTAAAAATTTCAAAAATTGACAAAAACATCAAAAAATAACTTTAAATTTAACAAAAAACTAAAATATTTAAAATACCTGAAATCTTGTATATTAAAAAGAACATCACCTAAAATAACAAAAATAGAGGCACACAGTATGTACACAGTACCTAATGATGCTAAACGTCCTGGCAGTGAAACTGCTAAAACGAAAAAAATAAAGGAAAAATTGATCTTCCAATCACTACTTTTTAGATAAAAGAAACTTTAATTTCTATAGCGCACATATTTTAAAAAGCGAATAAAATTATCAGAAAATGGCAGGTTTTATACCTTAAAATCGCATGCAAACACTGCTTTCGCTATGAAATTACTATTGTTTTCACTGTTGCAATATGAGACCAGTTCGTGTGGGCACAATAAAATCTGCTAAAACCATAAAAATCTAGGTGCAGTTACCTCAAAAACGACCCGTAGCACCACCAATATATTGAATGTGTGCATTCTAGAAATTTAAGGATTAGTTACAGAATCCAGTTGAGTTTCCAAAATCAAATTTTCTGGCGCTCGGCATTGGATGATTAAAAAAATGACTACCGAGAAATACTACCATTTAAAGCAGCATTATGCATACCTCATGTGGTTTTTCTTCTATGTATTTTATAAAAAAAAGAATGTTAATAGAATTAAATAATGGGCGTTGTTCTTATGAAAATATTTTTGACTTGATTCTGAAATGGCTCCAAAACCATTGTTTGCTATTTTTGTGTGTTGGAATGATTATGAATAATATAACAGTACGTGTTCTTCAAAAACATTTATTTTAAATCAATGTTACTCAGGTTTTTTCAAGCGTAATCACTGAGTTAGTAGCAATTGGCCCCACAAATAAACACAATGTCTTCAATTGCCTAAAATCTACATTAAATTACGCTATGACAAATAAGTAAGTTACATGTCTGAAAGTGCTCCGAGCTTGTTTGTTTCTTCTTTGAACGCCATCTCGCAACTACATTCCCTTGAAAACCCAAAGTCTACAAAGTAGAGATGCTTGGTGGTCCTGTGTAACAAAATATTCTGCTTCCTGATATCGCCATGCAAAAAACTCCGGCCGCGTGGATCTCGCCCAACGCCTGAACAATCGCTTCCTTTTCCTCATACGATGGGTCACACTTCCAGAAAGGATTAGCATCGAGTTCGTCTAAGAGCAGGGTGTATTCGCAACCATGTAAATAGCCGCTGTAATGAAACTTTGGAACAATTTGACCTTGCAGGCCTCTCAACTTTTTGTAGATTTTAACTTCGTTCTGCAGTTCACAGAGGATGTCATATTCCTCACGACTCTTCTCCTCATCCAGCCCAGAAATGCTTTTTGCTGCATACAGATGACCCTGACCATCAGAAAGACTCAAAATGCATCCAGATCTTCCACTTCCTATTACACGTCCATTGAAATACAACATATGTTTTACTCTCTCTGTGTTGTCTTCCATGCATCTTTTCCTCGTGCCACTCCCTTCTTTTTGACCATGTTTATTCTTATCTTCCTGCTTCATTGGTCCATTATCTGATGTACCATCTCCTCTTTCCAATCTCCAGCTCCAACCTCGAGTGACAAGTGAACAGGGATGTTCGTGATCTCTTTCCTTTCAGAGTTCATTGTGAAGTGAATAAATTAAGTCACCTTTTTAATGATGTCTTGGTCATACCTCACGCAATTTGAAACTTGTAATGTATGTTCCTTGGTCGGACAGTCACATTTACAAATGACAAAATAGGTATGGCAGTACGATGTCAGGATGCCGAAAGCTAGTTTCAACCTCATCGCATGTAGGTAGGCATAGAGTTGCTTTATCCCCATTCGGAAGTTGTACATGCCATCGGTTTCATCCCTCTTCTTGTGATTTTTGGCTATAAGTACTCATATTCTGTCTTACTGTTTCCTTTCTGCTTGGCCTCCTCCTTCAAATGATCGTAACTTTCGTTGCCATTCTTATTCTTCCGCTTTATGAAGCCAACACGTTCCATCCAAGCATCACGGTTGTTGTCTGTCTTCTTGAACCAATCTTCATTTAATATATCAGGTAAACTATCAATGTCTACTGCCACTGGCTCACATAATGCATCTTTTATCCCCTGATCTGTTACATTGATGGTTTTTAACGCAGTAAGCTGCATCCACTTCTTCATCTCGACTGCGACATAGTATTCATTTCTATTTTTAGGATTCAACAGAACATAATCAGCCTTAAATTTTCCTTCAGAAAATAGCTGTAGCTGGGGTTCGATATCGAAACTGTTATCGAGGAGCTTTTGTAAAGGGAATAAGACATTCCTAGCAAAAGCTAAGCCTGTACTCTGCTCATTAGAAAAATGTGGCATCGCGTTAGGTGGATAGGCTATCTTGTTGAGTGGGATGTTCATGTCATTGAGCAAGGCTTCCAAGTTCAAAAACTCCACTTTGGCTGCTGGAACCAAATTAAAGGTTTTGTTTTTCGTTGGTTTTGAAGAACTAAATTCACTCTGATTCGATAGATTAGGAAATGAGACACTTCCAATCGGTAGCTTAAGTTTGTGCAGCTCTTCATACTCGTATATGCCCTCTTCTACTGTGATGTTCAAATAAAATATCTTACCATTGGAGTCAGCATTGACCACAGCTGTGGCCATTTTCTTTCTGCAAAATTAAGTAAATATTAAAGAAAATTAAAGACCATTCTACACTATTTCATGAAACAGGGCAGAATCTTAAAAACAAAAATACCTGAAATGGAGTCCTGAGAGATCTGATGCAAGGGTTTCAACGTTGAATGATTTTCTGTAGTATCCGCTCAGTAGGCTATGCAAAGAGAAATTGAATTGGATTTCCAAAGACAAATGAAGTCCCTGTTCAGGATCGTTTTGATGTAACCTAAAGAGAAACAAAAGAAATTATTTATAGAAGACTTTCTGCTTTCATAACAAGAAAAACTGTCCTTCCATAGTTTTTCAATTTACAAAGAAATTATCAATGCACAGGTAAGTAATTAATAGCAATATAGCTAAATTTATTAGATTGGTATAATAAGCATATTAAATAAAACAACAATAGTAGCATTGTATGAAGTAACATTGTCATATTAAACCAGTTATATTTTCTTTTTAATCACATGGGTACCATCAATTAATGCAGGTGCATTGATGGCTGTAATGTTATTTATAACCTTTTCTCTAAAATTAGTCCCCTTTTTAGAATTTTATATATATTTTTTAATTCTTCTTTAGTATGACTATGAATTTCTTTGGAAAAATTTGATTTAAATTCATCATGGAATTTAATATCTTTAATTGATTTATTCATGTATTTTGATAATGGTCTGTTATCTGTTGTTTCTACAACTAAAGCAGTAAACATTTAATTGATTTTATTTTATCTATAGTTCTTGGATCAAAGATTTTCAAAAATTCAATGGTGTCCTAATTCGTTTTACCTTTTCTGGATAAGTTAAATTTAAATTTGACAGACAAACACAAGATCTATCTTATCAATATAAGCCCTTTTGTTTCTTTGTGCCGATATGTTTTGGTTTTTCTTTGTTAACTTCATCCTGAGACTTTATTAAATGACTGAGTCTATATGCTTTGGACATATATTTAAGCAAAATCTACCATTAACATCCCTGTTTCTATCTATTACCAATGTTCTTGAATTATAATCATTATTATTTTGTTTTAGATATTTTAAAACTGTTTTCAGATACAGTATATTCCTTGCTAGAATTATAATTTTTTTAACATATTTTTGACTCAAGTAACAAATATTATATTCTTTTGAAAATAAGCTGATAGTATTTTCCCTAAAATCATAGTCTTTTATTAAAGATATTAATTTCTCGGTTGTCATCTGTGTCATTTATTAAATATATTTTTTGGATTACCAAATACCATTACATATGCTAAATACTATAATACTATATATATATAATCTTTTGATATTTGGTATTTATATGTAATAAATGAACAAACAAATACAAAGATATAAACCTAGTATTAATGATTTAGAGGGATTAGATAAATTAGTAAAATTCCTGAATTAGAGGAAATGATGAAAGAAAATAAATTATGTATTAGAAAAGATTATTACCGAGTTGATGGTTTAAGACAAGTCGATTCAAAAACTAAAGAAATTATTAAACAGCTTTTTGTGCTTTACATCAAAGTAGTTTGTCGACTCAAGTTTTTAAATATTCCAATTTTCGTAATCAAGAAATAATTCAAAATTTATTAAACAGAGAAAAAAAGAGAGAGATTATTAAAACTCAAGCTGCTAAATAATGATAATTCAGGAATGGATAAAATGTTCTCAATATTACTTTTAGTTTCTACAATTAAACAACCATTTTGTCAAAATATATGACAATTAAAGATATTCAATTTATGGAAGATTTTAAACCAATGTTTGAAAAAATAGCATTAATACATTCACAAAAAAAAAAAAAAAATTAAAAAATATAAAGAAAGGAAAGGTCCAAATTTTAGAGATATTAATTCAACTACTACTGTTAATTTGTGGCTGTCCGCCATTTTGTATATACATAGTTATAGTATTTAGATTTAGAATTCTTTGTTCTTTCCTTTCCTTCTTCTTCCTTCTACTAATGACCATTTCCGGTCATCCGACAGGAGCGGGAAATTTGTGGGTCCTGATTGGTGGCTTATCGACATGAACAGGGAGTGGCCCTGCCCGTGGGGTACAGAAGGAGAACAAAGGGGTGAGAAAGACACTTTTTGCCCGGGCGACGAAGAGAAGAGGTCACGGAAGTATCGTCGGGACATTAAGTCGGACCTCGAGGACAAAGAACGAGCCGAAAGTGCTGAGTATCGAGTAGTCCTAAAAGGAAAGAAAAGGACTAGTGACTTGCCCAATAAGAAATAGTGGCCTACAAAACCCAAGTGACAATTATCATACCAGGAATGTTGGATATTCCAATGTCGATCGACAAAATCCCCACAATCATCAGAAACGACAAAATCCCCACAATCATCAGAAACGACGAAATCCCACAATCATCAGAAACCACAATCAGGACCTCCTGTGCTAAATACCGGTATACTTTTCCTTCCTTCATTTCCCTTTCCTTAGTATAGTGTTAGATTTAGTTAGCTATAAGTTAGTTATAAGTTAGTAATTAGAATCCGTATCGTGAGAACTATGCATTGTAAGAATCCGAACGAGAACAGAGACTTGTTATATATATCTACCTGTGTATGTGTCTCTGACGGGCATCATTGTATTACCTGTTAATTCTGATTGTAATAAACTATTGTTTAGTTAGTATTTGTTGGAATAATTGTCTCGTACAACTTGAACCCTTTCACAAATTCACCTTTTCCTATTTCAAGATCTCATATAATTTCACAATAAAATTTCGAAAATTCCATTATAAATTGAGAAGTAAAAAGCTCCTGGACAAAGTCAAATAGTTGAATTAGCACTTATAGCATTCAAATAATTAACACTATTTAATCCATTAATTAAACCATCAACCCTCATGATTTAATGGGGTTGTGTATTAGCAATTTAGCAGTGCTTTAATTTTTATCAAGAAAGGCTGATATTTAGAATAAAAAGTCTTAAGATTCTTCAATTAATATATGACCCTAGGCATATGTATCAAAAGAAATGACAAAGTAACACAGAATGACATTTCTTATCATAGAAATGACAAAGTAACTTTTCAGTTTTTCCACCAGGAGGAAATTATTTTCATGAGCTAGTGGAAGATCATTGAATATATTATGTAGTTTTAAATCTTTTGGAAATTCTAAATCTACTTCTAAATCATAACCTGTTTCATCACCAACTTTGCCGCTAGAGTTGAGAATGTCATCCACTTCTTCTATTTCCTGTTTTGACATACATTTAAAGTCTTTTTGAGGTAATTTCTTTGATAGAGCCCATCCATATAGATTAGCAGATTATTTGGATATTACAATAACCAGGTTTAAAGATCATTTGGAGTACAGTAAGTATGAAAAACCTTGTAATGCAAACAAAGTTATAAATTTTAAATCGTATTGTCCGATTAGCCAGAAAAGAAATATTAACTTAATGGAAGTAAGAAAGATATTTTCTAGAGCAACTAGAAGTGAAAAAAGAATAGAAGAAATTAGAAAAATAAATAGAAAGTACTTGTTGAACAATTATCTGAAAAAATTGCTGGAGAATTGGTATAAAGAATACTTAAAAAGAAGATTTCAAGTAAAGAAAAAGCAGGAAATTAATAAGTATGTTTCTTTTCCATATATCAAAGGTATTTTCGAAAAATATAAAAAAAATTGTGTGAAAATTTAATACAATTGGCTCCATTCCAAAAAAATAGATTATCTGAATTAATTAAAACTGAATCTTACAGAAAGAAAGTTTTTTTAGAAGAAGGAGGAGTGGTTTATAGACTTCAATGTACGTGTGGAGTACCGTATTATTACGTTGGAGAAACAAAGCGAAAACTTAAAGTGCAGATGTTGGAACACTTGGCTGCAATACGAAATAAAATTAATACATCCCCGATTTTTTTTGCATCGTCACGCAAATAATTGTCAATTGGATACTAATAATGTAAAAATAATACATAAAGAAAAATATATAGTTAAGAGAAAATTTAAAGAACATTTTGTGATAATTAAGCAAAGTAATGTTATGAATTTGAATAATGGAGTGATGCCAGCGGAATGCTGGGAAGAGTTAGTGTTATTTAAGGATTGTAAACACGATGGTACCAGTGAGAAAGGTGTGTCTTTCATGGATGTTAGAGCGTCTTCTGTTGTATCTTCTACTAAGATGTGTCGTTTGCGGATTTTGTTCCTGTTGTACATTCTGGTTGTGAGAAACTGTACTGAGGAGGCCTCAGTGGGCAAAATGCATTTGGGGTGAAACATATTTATTAAAATAAGTGTTTTTCTTTATGTTAACGTGTTTACCTCTTTCTTAATTTTTATACCAGTCTACATACTCAGGATATATTAAGCCTCCAAAAGTCAGAAACGAATGGAAAACTAGCAGTTTTCCATGTACTAGTGAATAGTGCAATATGGTAAAAAAAAAAAAAAATAGATTAGCAGCATCTAAATAAATTTGTTGATTTTTGTCTGCTTTTGAGTATCTATTAGAACACTGAGAAATCCCACCTCTTATTCCTTTCTCAAAAAAACATATACATCTCATCTGTTAACAATTCTAAATTCACCTTAGTATATTTTAACATACAATTCAGGCTAAAGCTGGAGTTGTGTAGTACCATACACAATCTAATCTATAGCTTTTACCTAAACATAAATCTCTAAAGTTTTCAACTATATTACATAATAATAAACAATCTAATTTTAAATATAAATCGTGCCACTCACCTAAATTCTTTATTTTAAAATATGATCATGCTTTAAAAGTCTGGAACCAATCTTTTTGGGAAATATTTTCTTTTGTTAAGGAGAAATAGAATGCTTTAATTGATGGTAATTCGGTTTCATGAAATCTCTGAAATGAGTTCAAGTATTCATAAGGATAGATGCCTTTTCTAATTATTTTAATTCCTTGCTTTCTGAATAAAATATTTAAATCATCTGCAGAAATTATCTCTCTCTCTTAATTGTTCTTATTCTAGATTAGATGAGAGAGCATCCAAACTACTTGCTAAATATTTGAATGAATCAATAAATCATAATTCAATATATTTGTTAGGAGCTATAGATCTTTTGTTATGACCAGTTTTGCTGGGAATTCTCAAAATCTTGCTGAAGGAGATGTAATTCTCTTCATTATCTGGAATAAGCTTCAAGCTGCACTTGTCCTCACCTAAATTCTTTACAAACAGATGACAATCATAAGAATGAGATTATGGAATAAACAATGGTTGTTTGTATTTTAAATGACATGAATTACAAGCAGCTCCACAATATTCACCAGTACACTGATCGTGTTCTCTTATTTTTGGATTATTTTCAGTAAATTCATCATCACATAGAAAACACTTTCTTAAATCGACATCTATCATAGGTTTATTCTTTTTTTTAATAGTTTATGGATTGTTTGTGTGTGTTCAGTTATTCGATTTATAAAGTATTTATCAACAGTAACATCTTCGTTTCCTCTAACTTTCCAATGGATTTTGTATGTTGTTATTAACACTTTTAAATGTATAATCCATAACTACAAGGAATATGAAGTTGTGTTTTCTGAGTATATGAATTTTCCGGATTTGGTTCACAGTTTTGAATAGGCTTCAAAATAGATTTGAAATCACAATAAATTACGTATGGACGTATTAGCATTCTTTGAATATTCTTAAAGTTAGTTTGTGGTGGAACTTCATTATTGACTATTATTTTTGGTGTTGGCATTACAGGAATACAAGGTTCATTATTAAAGCATCTTTCTTGATGTTTTTCTATGGCTTCATGAGTTCTAGCTGAATAATTCAATCAAACATAGAAAATATTTCTGTAGATGATCTGTTTCTAACGGATAATTTAATAATCTGCTTAAATTTTTTATCCAATAGTAATGATTATTAGTTTTATTTCCAAAGTATAGCAAGTGAATGTTTTTCTCGTAACTTTGTTTCTTATTGCAATATAATGGATAAAAGGTTTTTCCTTCATAACTAAATATTGTGATATTTATCTGATTCTGTATTTCAAATTTGGGAATATCCTGAATTTTAACTGGAATTAAATTTCAGAGGAATCATATTTCATCTTTAAATTCTGGTGTATTATAATGATATAATTCACTTGCATGGTTTTTTGCTTGATGTAAACACGATATTACACTATAGCTAAAACATTCATTATCATTATTTTTAACATTAAAGCAAGCTTTATCTTTAATCCATTTTGGTAATTCAATATACAAGTTTCCGCTTAATGGTTTATTTGTTTTAAAGTCTAACCTGAGCCTTTGCTTCTAGTTCATAACATCTTAAGATAAGTAACTCTTTTTGATCATTCCAATATTTGGTTAAATTGTTAGCAGATCTTAAAATAACATTTTGTAATTGAAACTTCTGTGTCATTCCAGTTTCCATATTCTTAAAATCACATTCCAACTCTAAATTAATTCTAATATTTTTTATGTAGATCTAAAGCCTTTTTCATTATATTGACAGCCTTTTCTTTTATTCATATAACCTTCTATATCCAAATTTTCTTTCTGGTTTTTATGTTGATAAGTCAATAATCGTTCTTTATAGATAACTTCAACCAAAATAAAATCTGGTTCTGGGTTATGCTTTGCTTTATGTAATGGCATACAAGTTTCTTTAATGTATTTTCCACATATATCACATATTATTTTTTTACTATCTTTTTCTTAGGTTTAGCAATAATTTCATCATCACAAAAATATTTATGCAATTTTCATATTTTCTTCCTCTTTTCTTATTTTTTCTCCTCAACTTTAATAATCTCTTATTAAATCAGCTTTTCCATAGGTCTTAATATTTTTTCTCTGTTTAGGTTACATCAAAACAATCCTGAACAGGGACTTCATTTGTCTTTGGAAATTCAATTCAATTTCTCCTTGCATAGCCTACTGAGCATATACTACAGCAAATCATCCAACGTTGAAACCCTTGCATAAGATCTCTCAAGACTCCATTCCAGGTATTTTTGTTTGTAAGATTCTGCCCTGTTTCATGAAATAGCGTAGAATGGTCTTCGGTTCTCTTTAATATTTACTTAATTTTCCAGAAAGAAAATGGCCACAGCTGTGGTCAATGCTGACTCCAATGATAAAAAGACATTTTATTTGATGGTTGGTTGGTTGATTGATTGATTAAGGTTTATTGGCACAAGGGCCACATAGGCCAAGCTGTGCCATGTCAAACGGTATAATTATATAATCTAATAAATATATAATGGAAATATTAAATATAAATAAATAAAATAATAAATAAAACCAATAATGAGAATATATAACAGTATACATGTATATAATAAAAGGACATATATAAATAACACAGGTCAACAGTGGTTTTGGTGCCCTGGTATTCTGAGCTGATTTCATATGAATTTGATGTCCTGAATTCAAATATGGCATTAGTTTTTGCCTAGGAGCTCTAATTTTTAAGATATAGCATTTTAGCGAAATACACATTTCAATATCTTAAGTTAAATCCATGAATCAAGTAAAAAAAACTAAACATGGAATTTTTATTATTATATTATGCAAATATTATTCTATACAAAGATAGAGGAAAAAGTCATCAATAAAACTAAACAGTTACACATTGAGGAAGCTTCATTTCCATGACTTTCGTGAATGTATTTTGGAGCAATCCCTTTTTAAACTCCAGCAGTAATCTGCCATCATATGCGTATCCCATCTTCCTTGGTAGCGGTCCTCCATAGTTTTAATATCCTGGTGAAATCTTTCACCTTGTTCTTCACTGGT